ATATATATATATATATATATATATATATATTTGAGTTGAAGCCAACAACCATGAACCAAGAAGATTGAAATCTATTAGATAGGCATGTTTTGGGACATGTATGTCTGTCATTGACAACGAATGTTACCTTCAATAAATTGCATGAAAAGAACATCATTAGTGAGCCTTCAATCATAAAAAAATGCATTTAATGATTTTTTTTTTAATTTAGGACAGATGAAGAAGACGCTTTCGTGGTGACCAATATCAATGAACTCAATTCAATTAGCAAAGCTAATATTAGTTTTGATAATGAAGTTCATGCTAAGAGATTCTTATCATCACTACCCGGAAGTTGGACTAAAATTATAACAATTGTCAACAGCTCATGTGGGTCTATGAAGCTGAATATCAATGACTCGATATTAGGTGAGGATACCAGGAGACTAGAATCAGGTAAAGAATCTTCTATTGCTCTAACCCTTGAGTACAAGCAGAGACAATAATAGAGGTGGATCTATATCTCAATAGGGGAGTCAATCCAAAATTCACAGGCATGCATACTAACAATGTGTCAAGCCTAGCCATATGACGAGATTGTTTGCAGGGTAATGATGGTCATTTTAAATCAAAGGAATTATCAAAGGTTACAGTGAAGAGATCTATGATACACTAATCTTTAAGGCAGATAATCCTATGAACTTGAATGTAGGTGCATCTTTTACATCAACTATATATAGAAAGTGTATATTTAATCATTCTGTAAAAGATTTCGGAAAGGTGAATCTTACTCACGGTGAACTCTTAAATTCTGTGGGAGTTGACGATGTAATGAATAGGAGTTTAATCTTGATTGGACAACTAGCTAAAAAAGGTTACATTTTAATCTTATATACTTATAATTGGAAAATGATCACTAAGAGTGCCCGAGAAATAACATATAAAAGAAAAGATGATACCATATAAATGGCATCAAACACTAAAATAATAGAAGAAACTATCAAATCACTTGGTGATAATTTTCGATGACAATGCAAAATAAAGTTTTTATTCAAGTAGGATGAGTTCACTCCTTACCCTCCCTCCTTCTGCCTGCATCTGCTTCTAAAAGACGAAGCCACTCGACTTTGCGCAGGGGGTTCACCCTCCCTTGATAACTAGACGTTATAGGTTAGATGTGACTGTTGGAGCTGAAAGCCCGCAAAAAAAAAAGTAACTGCCATAGAGGCTAGTAACTAGTGCAGTTGTACAAAATAGGAGGCGTTAGGCTTTATTTATATCCAATGAGCATGAAAAGTGGAGGAATCATGCTCAGGTATGAACGAGGGAATACGTAAGAGATACAAAATTAGATGGGAAGAATATTAGTGAGATAAAAGTTAAAAAAATAGGAGTAAATATTTGTGTATCTAGGCTAGTGGGCATTTATCTCTGATATTCTCCTTGGAGATTATTCATTTCATGTTTGTGTTGGTCATTCCCCTCAAGTGCTTCTCCCAAAGGCCTAACACAAGATAAGTAAGACACATTTGACTGACTAAAATAACATCAAGGTTGAATAAATAACTGCTGAAAACATATTCTACCTGTACAATCAAGATGAATATCAAGTATTGACTTCATCTAAAGAACATTTTAGTTTTGGCAAAATCTTTAGCCTGAAAGCTCAAGTTGACCCGGTCGCTACCTCGATTATACTTACAGACTGGGTTGATCTTTGAGGATTTTATTCAAGCTGAGATGTTGGAAGAGTTAAGTTTATAACTAAAGTGAATTTATTGGTTTTAAAGAGAACATAAACAAGGAGCAAGGGACATCTTTGTAAGTTAACAAATTAGTAGTTAAATCAACATAATAAAAAACTGAGGTGGCATGCAAGTAAACTCAATACATTTAGAGTGACAAAGAAGTTAAGAAATTCAGTAAAGAATATGCAAAATCATGCTTTTTAACGTAATATCTAGCCAACCAAAGAATTTGTTCTTTTCAACTTTGAAAAGAAGAGCTAATTGATAGAAGTTTTCCAGTAAAGAGGCAAATTAAACGGATCACCAACTTGAGTAATAGATGAATGCAGCTTACATCAAATATGGAAGAGTCATAATCTTGAGCAGGGATGGATTTTTCTTCACAAATTCCTTCCATTCAATGGGATCTATCTTTCCGTCAGAGTTAGTGTCTGCCAGCTTGTATGTCTATTAAAGGAGCATTAATACAAGAATATTCATAAGACGCAAATGATTATATAAATAAAAAATTCTGATGATAAAAAAAAAAACAATTAAAAAAAGAAGAAAAGTAATTCTTCTGACCTGATCAACAATCATATCAACAATATCATCTGAAAGATACAAATCTGATTCATGTAAAAGAGCGAGAACCAACTCCTTTAACTGTCAAATCAGTGAAATACAGAAAGATAATTCTACCTGAATGACCAAAGAATCAACAAATATTCACAAGTAACTTGTAATAAACAGCAACAAACAAAAGGAGGAATCTTATGTAGAGTAATTAGCTAAAGCAAGGTTCAAAGCAGATTGATTTAATATGTAAATTTTGGTATGAGTACTTGGAAAATTTATTGCCTCAGGACTCCGCAGGCTGAGTTGCATGAGGAGTCCAATGAGAGGAGTCCAAGTGGAACTGGGTCCCACTATGTATTAAAATTCAAAAAAAGCTTAATTAACGTGACCCGGCCCGAATCACCACCGAGCAAATTTAAAAGATGCGTTTTTTAGTGAAACTCGGCTCGAATTTAGCCCGTTAAAACGCCGAAACAGACAAAATGTCACTACCTTTTTGTTCTTCGGCGGTTTTAAAGCATTTCTTCTTGTTCGTCGGTTCGGATCGGGCGTTCTCCGTTCGAACGGCGGCTTCGCTTCGGCTATGGCTTTTCGGTTTCGACTCGTGGAAATAAAAGTTTGGTTTCGCAATACGCAGTGTTTATAAGTCTTAGAGTTTAGTTGTTCGACAACAAGTCATTTGTTTTCCTTCTCTTTTTGGCACACAACAATGGAATGTCGCAATAGTACGGAAGAAGCTAACGGTCTCCCGAAGTCATTGAGGTAATATGCTACAATGTTTATTTTAGAAAAAAAAGTTGATTTGTTTTATTGCAATAGGGTTGTGTTATAGTTGTGTTTTACTTTTGTTATAGTCGTGTTATAGATGTGTTATTATGTGTTATATTATTGTGTGATGTGTTATAGTCGTGTTATAGATGTGTTATTTCGTGTTATTATTGTCTTATATTATTATAATTGTGTTATAAATGTGTTATAACTGTGTCATTGTGTGTTATTGTATGTTATAAATATGTTATAGATATGTTATTGTGTGTTATTGTTGTGTTATGTTGTTATAATTGTGTTATATATGTGTTATTGTGTTATAGTTGCATTATTTAAGTATTATGGTTGTGTTATTGTTTTGTATTATTGTGTTATTGGTGTTATTGTTGTGTTATTGCGGTGCTACTTGTGTTATAACACTAATAACACTGCAATAGTACCAATCACATTTATATAACATGAAATAATACAATAATAACACAACAATAATACCACCACAACACATCAATGACACAACAATAACACAATCATAACACACGACAACACAACAATAACACAATCATAACACATGATAACACAATAATAACACAATCATAACACAGAATAAGACAACAAATACACAATTATAACACAACAATAACACGCAATAACTCATTTGTAACACAACAATAACTGAATGATAACACTCATATAACACAACAATAACACATATGTAATAATAACACTTGAGTAATTTGAAAATATGTGAATGAAGAATGATATCTATAAAATAGTATTTCCTTCTGTATGTTTGTTGTTGTAGGTATATGAACGCAAGAACGTTCACTTGTAGATGTCGTCCTTCTGCAGTGAGGGGTGCACTTGATATTGTTAGACACATTGTCTTCGAGGAGAACAAGAATTTTTTAAGAGAAATAAATGTCAGTTAGTTTTTTGACATGTCTCCTTATCCTCAAAATAATGTGTTGACTCTACATATCATTGGATTTTGGAATAATGAAAGGAGAGCTTTTCTAATGGATGGGAAGTTGATAAAACTCCTCGTTGACCATGTTGCGTTGTTGCTAGGCATGCCCAACAGAGGAGAATCAGTTTGTTGGAGGAAAACTCTCTCATCTCATGTAAATAGATAACACGTCAATAATACAACAATAACACAAAAATAACATAACAATAATACAAAAATAACACAACAATAACACGTCAATAATACAACAATATTACTACCATAACACAGCAATAACACAGCTAGAACAATACAATCCCTAGACACTAAACCATAACAATAATACCATAATACCACTAGAAAATTAAACAATAACATCATATAACACTTCAATAAGACGAGAATAACACGTTACTAATACAACAATAATACAATTATAACACTACTAAAACAATACAAATTTCTAAACAATCAAAACACTAGAACAATACAATCCCTAGACACTAAACCATAACAATAATACCATAATACCACTAGAAAATTAAACAATAACATCATATAACACTTCAATAAGACGAGAATAACACGTTACTAATACAACAATAATACAATTATAACACTACTAAAACAATACAAATTTCTAAACAATCAAAACACTAGAACAATACAATCCCTAGACACTAAACCATAACAATAATATCACAATAATACTAAAAAACTAAACAATAACATCACATAACACCTCAATAAGACGAGAACAACATGTTAGTAATACAATAATAATACAATTATAACACTACTAAAATAATACAAATTTCTAAATAATCACACCACTAGAACAATACAATCCATCAACCCTAAATCATAACAATAAAACCACAATAACACTAGAAAAGCTAAACAATAACATCACATAACACGACAATAACACGACAATAATATGACAATAATAAAACAATAACACAACTAGAACAATACAATCTATCAACCCTAAACCATAACACAACAATACTAAATCATAAACCCTAAAAACACCTAACAAAAATCAGCTAAACCAACATAAAACAACAATGCAAAACTCAAATCAAAATAAAACTAAAGTATACTAACTTCTGATTGAAGCTGCGATTGAAGCTGACTGCCATTATTTCTCGATTTCATGAGAAATATTTCTTCATCTACAAAGAAATCGATCACACCAGCTCGGAACCCAATGCAAAGAAAACCTAAAGCGACAAAATACCTTTTTCTAGACTGGCGGAAGCACGAAAATGCGACAAAAGACTTTTGGCGAGATTAGCATCGGACATAAAGTCACTTTTTCGCTTCTTGGACTGGACTCTGATTTCAGTCGGGTCGGTTCGCGTGCTCTTAATTCATTAGGGTGCTCGATTCCACATGGCGAACATGAATTGGACTCTGCTCGTAACTCTGCGTGCGGAGTCCGGATGTAATAAGCGCTCGAGTACTTGGGCCCATAAATATATTGAGAAAACTACAGACTATACTATCAAAGAGTTGGAAAAGAATAAATAATGTTGAAATTATGATCCTAGACATTTCTGCCAGTTTGGTCTACATGTCTCCAAGTACTTGTCAAATTTAAAATTGCAAATTCTCTATTTAAAGAATCCATGCTGAAACTTGAAGATTTACCATAAAATGGTTGTTGAATGAGAAGATCTCAATTCTACAAACAAAATGACGGCGGGACATCAATCCTCTAAAATAACACAATGATTGAACAATTACCTCTTCACGTTCAATAAAACCAGTGCTCCTCAAGTCATACAATCTGAAAGCAACTACATAAAAAACAAATTACACCACCATGAGCTAGGCAAAGACAATGAAAGACAATAATTCATCGAAATAACTTGAAAATTGTTAAAAGTTAAGATGATGGAAAGATTTTATCACAGCCAAAGCAGATAATTTTACTAGAACCAAAGCAGAAGTTTATAAATTAAAAGATTAACATTATGTTCTTTTATAGAATCAGAGTAAGTGCTTTTAAATAAAAGTATTGTAATAAAGGTTATCAAACAACAATTTGAAGTAAAAAAAAAAAAAAAGAAGAAGAAAACTTCATACATGCAATTTTTTCATCTTGTGAAGTGTTTGGATGGAAGACACTGAGAGATCTAACAAATTCCCCAAATTCGATTACGCCATTACGTTTAATGTCAAATAAGTCAAAAACCTGCAAAACACGTACAAAAAGAAACGAATATAATTAAATGGAGATATATACAATAACATTTTGGGTGATGACAACAATATGTTTGATGGAAACTAAGGGTCCGTTTGAAGCAGCTTGTGTGTTTCAGGATAAGCTGCTTATCCTGAAACGCGGCCCGCGGGCCTCGACCCGCGGCCTGCGTTTAGTGTAAAAACCCAAATGCAGTTTCGGATAAGCTGACAAAACCCGCGAACCAAACGGTACAGCGGCGTTTTGAAAACGCTGCCCGCACTTATAAGCTGCCCCAAACGGACCCTAAATTATACTGTAGAAAACAAAAAATCTAATAGGCCAATCTTGAAGTTAAGTAATTGTGTAATCTGAAGACGAATGAATAGTCCTGTGGCTCAGTGGCAAATATGTGGCAATAAAGTGAGAATTTTATATCAGCTTTTTGCACGAAGATATCACATATACATGAATAAAAAGAAAAACATGGAAGATACCAAAATTCTTATATGAAAAAAGTAGGAATAGAAAACCACAAGGCCTAGCCATGGTGAAATAATCCACTATGTTCGTGGAGACTAATACATGATTAAAAAATATATATATTCCAACTTGGTTGCTTGTAAATGTAGTTGAGCTTGAAGTAACGGATTTAAACAACAACGAGTGATGGCACATGAACAACAACAATTGGATGACGGTGATCAAATGCCGACAATGGTTGGTGGATAGATGATATCGAATGGGCAGTGGTGGTTAAATAACAACAATTAGATGACATTTATTGAATGATGGTAGTAGGGTGATGGTGTTTTGACGACGGTGCTCGTTGGTTGTTGTTGATATTTATAATTTTTTGTAGTGAAATTTTACTAAATCTGGCCAAAAACCCAGAAACACCGCATTGAACGATTCATATTGATTCTTTTGACCATAGATCATTCTTTTTAATATTCAAGTTTATCAATGATTTCATAATTGAATGATCTTAGGTTTATTTGATTTCTCTCATTAAGATGCTAAATTTGACCATAAACATATAAAATTTGGAGATTATGTGACCCTTGAGTGAATTTCTTAAAGTTTGTAACCATACTTTAGGTGCGTAATTTTGCCTCAGTTGGGCTCGGATTGGATAACCTATGATGTTATTGGGTTCTTCTTTAAGAAAAAAATTCAATTTGCTGAAATCAAAACTCGAATAATACTCAATTTGACTCTAGAAGTTACCTCATTTGAAACATCAAGTTTCATGCCTCATCAAGTGAATTTTTGGTGACATCATTTAATAATCGAGATATACTGCCTAGCTATTACGATATGATAAGAACATTTGTAACAAATAACATTTTGTGATTTGGTTTTTTATATTTTGCAGAAGCAAATGATCAAGTAGATTCTGATTTAAATGGATAGATAATTTATTAAGATACAATCTAGTAGTCTCATGTATCAAAGTGTCTTTTCGAATAATTAAAATAGCTCTAGAACATTGGTTGGCAAAAAGTGAATCCAACTTTAAGAGTCTAAAGATGCGAATAAAAAAAAAAAAAAAAACTGTAAGAGCCTAAAGATGCAAAAAAACAAGAACTGTAAGAGCCTAAAGAAGGCATCTTTATGGTCTCATGGTAACCCCAAAGTAATATCAGAACAAGCCAATGTTTCTTCCTTCTGGGATAAGAATGTTTCTACATAAAGTTCAATGATTTTAAAGACTTGGCAAGATCACAATGAAGTTTTTGATACACAAAAAGTGAAAAAAAAAATTGGCCCCACATAAAAGCACGCTCACACTCTCTCTTTTCCAATTCCCTCGTAGCTCAACCTATCACTTGCTAAAAAGTCTTTCCTGCAACCCAGACAAGCTCCCTCCCTCCCTCCCTCCCTCCCTATGAAATAATGCAT